AAGAGCACGAGCTCGTAAGCTAAGTAACTGTATTCATCGTGCACGCCATTTCTAGTCGTTGTATTCTAGAGTTCAACCAGTTCCCACTGTATATTCATTGCGCACACATATCGGTGGCATGCACACAAAAGAGAGCTTTTCTTCGTGTGCAGGAAGAGCTGGTCCGTCTTGGGGCCGAGGCGTCACTCTTGACGGGGTCGGATGGGCACGATGAGACTTCCACTCTACTTGCACAAGGTGAACAGATCTGGTGCCAGAATTCGAGGACTGGCATTTTCGATAAGAAACGTCGTTGAGAGAACACAACTCAGATCTTCCTGGTTCTCCGTGACATCCGCAGAATGCCCCACGCAAGTTTTGTCTTCGATGAAGGGTTTAGACTGCACTAGGATAATGTAGCGCTGGGCAGATATGTTTCGGGCGTACCTCCTTCACTGCAGGACTTTCCACGCCGTCCACGGTTATTTCCCGGATACCTCGCCGTTCTGAACGCGTCCAGCAAGAGGCACGAAATGCGTTGGCCCTCCTCGGAATCCAAACTCCTCTAGAGGTGCGCGAAAGGTAGTGTGGCTAGGTGTGAAGCACAAGAGGTACTGAACTGCTCGTCAACACATTTTATTGAGAGATCTGCAAAACGAACAGCAATACTTGACACTTAAGTTGATGGGATTATAGCCGCACTGCCAGTAGGTTATTCTAGAGATACAGACGCCGCGATTTGGGTTTTAGAACGGGAGGGAAGAAACGTGTGGCAACGGCTAATCTTAATTCTGTTTTAATTTGTCGTAGGGAGAGCAAAATGCCCAGATTGAGGAAGTTCCGGGTGGGAAAGGACTGACTCCTGGTGACGTGCGAACGCCTAATGCTCTGCAGCAGCAACTCCGTGGGACCCGCTTGACTGGCACGATATCTGATACTCCACTTACTGCAGGTTAGGAAGCTTCTTATTTTTAGCCGTAGCTGTGTGAACTGAAGTTTGTGATCGGCAGGCTGGTTCGATGAGAATTAGCGTTCAAGGGCGCAGGCGTTTTTATATTCGTCCCCCTTTTTACTTAGTGGTCATTCAAGCTCAGTCGCTACGATTTAGCCCTACTTAAGTCATATGCTGTCTTTCTGTATGCCTTCAGCTACTCGCATCACCGTCACGGGTCATGGCAGCAGTGCAACTCCTCTAAATGATCCGTCCGACGCTGGGTCTGCTTCAGAAGGTGGTGGTATGGGTTCCAAGGCAGAGCTGCATCTCGCCCGTCTTCACGCGCGAACATCTCTCGCCTCGCTTCCTGCTCCCAAGAATGATGTCACAGGGCAGATCCCGGATGACATTACTGAGGAAGAAAAGGAGCTCCTTGAGTCTGAAGCTGTGAGATATATTTCCATTGAGCGCTGGGGCATTACGTGGATGCTGGTCGCAGAGATGTCTGCATTGTTGTATTGAAAAGCTGCGGTTGCCTTTTGGCTCACATTTTAAGCAATGAAGGGCGCTTGATTGTTCGGAATCAAGTACTACGGGTCAGTTGCTTCTGCTTCCTCTTTCTTTCAGGATTTGGACATGGAGGAGGTGGAAAAGCGACGAGCTGCGCGGGCAGCTGAGGCGGCGAGGAGGCGCTTTTTAGAGCAGACGCAAGTGATGCAGCGGCAGCTTCCTAGGCCCATACTTCCTCCATCTAAACCGTTGAGCTCGTCTATCGACGCTACTGCAGTGGTGGCAGCGGCTGTACAGCAGCAGGTACAGCAGGATGAAAATACATATATCACGGAGGAAGGAAAGGATGCCGCTGTTGCAGCCATATCTGAAGCTGCATCGCTTACTGAGAATGTCATGGTGAGCCAGCCAGTGAATGAGCCTTCGGTGTGAAGGGAGAAACTCTCACGTCAGCTTGAGTTCACCTGCGTATGCCTCTTTTCGTCAGTTCTTGTGAATACGGTCTTGCACCCACGCGTCGTATGGTGGTTTTTGCAGAGTTTGCTCGTTCAAAACGACTGCTATTCGCATCCATTCCGCGGCATCAGCGTGAGCTGTTCAGACTTGTCGAGTCTAATTATGACTTAAGAATCCTTTTGGAATAGTATATTTCTACTTCCCTGTACCTCTTGCAATTATTATGCTTGCGTATTAGCTCATAAGACAACACCAGTATTCAGTATATCTCTGCGTGCGAATTGTATTCGCAGCCGCCGCCACCAACAGGCGAACTTGAACCATGCAGCTTGGAGGAAATGCAGGTACAGTAGAGGTGATGCCAGGAGAGCAACAAAGCAGCAAACCATGATAAACACAGTACTTCATAAAGTTTTATGGCGGCGTATAAAGGCTCGAGAGCGAGGAATTGAGCTCTCAAGTGCCGCATGCTCGATTACAACGGGCCGCTTCTGCTGCATTCTGGGTGACCCTTGCGTTGTCTGTGTGCATCACGCTGCTAGCCATATTTAGTGGTAGACTTTGCAAAGTATACCTCGCCTGTTCATTGGATTGTGGGCCCATGGACTGTAGCCTGTCACGCGACTTGGATTCCTCAGCTCCTTTTGCAGGGATGATCTCCTGAGAACACTACCGATTCCGCATTTATTTGTGGGCAGGCGGTGAGAGAGCTTTTAGAAACTGAGCTGGCGTCTTGGAATTTGGATGAGAATTATCCGAGATTTGACAAACTTGTTCTTACGCTGGAAACACAGCTGGTCTTTAATCCGGCATCAAAGTCGTGAGACTCATTTGCAGAAATTGACTTAAGGGTGCTTCTGTGCAAATGAACAGCTGCAGCACTAACAGCACGCTACGAGAAATCGTGGAGCTACATAGCAGTGCTTGACTAGGCGAAGGCGTTGCTTGATTGTGGACCTAGAGTAGACGAAGAGTGTCATTTTTGCTAGGGGTCTAATTACGCTGTCAGATAGGTGCGTCGCTTTTGCAGGTATGTTTCTTCGTCAACCCTTAGCCCTAGTGAGCGCCTTCAGGTGTATGCTCATCAAGTGGAAACGCTCAAGACTGGTTTGGCTTCAGCTGTTCAGCGAACCAAAAAGCTGGAGAAGAAGTACAAGGTGCTCACGACAGGATATACAAATCGTCAGAAGGAGCTTGCCAAGGCAATTAGTGAGCTGCCAACAACGAAACATGCTGCGCCTAATTTTGGGTATTTGTTAGTCTTTATTGTGGTCAGTCGTGTACTCTCTAAACTAGCGTAGCCTATGCGGATACATACAAGTGTTCGTTTGACATTCTCTTGCGTATGGCACTGCTCACGTGCATCGAAAAGCTTTTACGTGCGACTGCTCTGCGCAGGCGAAAGCAGCGCCGAATTGCTGCAGCTTGATGCGCGCATTGCGTCTTTCACTAAACTGCACGAGGCAGAGCAGAAAGCAGTGAAGGTTCGGACCGAAGAAAAACGGGTGGAGGTCTTACGGGAGCGTGCGAAGCATTTGTTTCTCCAAGTACGCTTGCTGATAAACTTTAATTTGTTTTATGACTCACGGGTTTAAAACATAGTCATCACAACCATGGAAGAAGCTGGGTCAAGGATGGATGGTGTCGGGCAGTTCATAGTTTCCACCCAGTGCTGGGAAAATGTCACGCGAGAATTTACCCCTTTTCTTTAATCATTAATGGGTTTTGTGGGCAGCAACTTTATGGGCGTCTGACAGCAGTCAAGAAGCACCTCCAGGAGCTGCTAAGTGACACAGGAGGCGCCCAACAGGAGCAGCAAATACAGGCGTAGCAGAGCCCAGGTGCCCCTCTGCAGTTGTATGGCCTACTGGTTCACGGTTTTGGCTCATTCCGGATAATTCCAGAAGGGCCTTAGGAGGCAGGGTCTACGGCGCCCTCACGGTGGAACGAATAACTCGCTAGCTACACAAAAGTGGCTTGTTAGCGGCCTTTGTTGGTCATCAAAACTGGACGTGCTATTCATACACAGAACTTGTGCAAGAAATGATGGCCACAGACGAGGCAGTTTTTGCCAGCTTAAGTAGCACAGTTGCGCTGCAGATTTCGGTACTACTGCAGTCTAACCACACGACGTCAGTCTGCGCTGTCGAGGAGGGTAATAATAAGGGCGTCTGCAACCTGGAAAGTACCAGGATGGGTAATTGAAGTGCTACGTGTTGTACTTCGTACTGGCATCTACTTTGAGATATTAAGCCGCAGCATGTTTTGCAAACTCAAGACAGCAAGACGTTGCACAATGCTGTCGTTGGAGTTAGAGGAAGTTGTTGCCTGTACTGCTGGGCCGTCAAATTGCACAGGCTGACTGCAGTGTACCAAGAAGCATAGCCTTCATCTCTTTGGGGATGATGAACTGGTTTAGGAATGGCTATGCTCACCATTTACACCTGCAATGCTAGGGATTCTTCACAGACGCAACCGGGGGTTTCCGGTGTGCTTTGTGGGACGCAACTACAACTCATTTCAGCTGTTAGAAGGATTTTTTGCTCTGCACTTATTTTTTATCCTGCGAGAGAGTGCTAATATATGGTCAAATGCCCAAATTATCGTGCACTGGCATGCTGGGCTATCGGAGGTCACTGGACCGCTCGATGGTCCGCCAGTGGCGGTGGTTCGGAAACTGGGGAACCTAAGCAAAGTCCAATATTGGACAAATGTTCACAGTTCATTTAAACAGAAAACCTCTTCGTCTCTTCGTCGTTAATGCTCCCTTTAGTAAGAGCAGACAGCGCCACCAATGCGGGCTTGTTTGCTAGGAGCCTCACAAAGTGTCCCGTTTCGCCACAAGATTTATAAGCGCTCGAGTTGGCACCATTAATACTTCTGGATGACTGACACGTTTTAAAGCAACAACAGAAGCGGTCAGCTTGGCTTCATTCCACTGGGCTCGAGTTTCATCGGCTTCGCAGCGACAAGCGGCTTTGCGAACTACGCAGCCGTACAAATCCTCAGAACAAGTAGTCTCTACTTGAATATTTGCAGATCTCGAGTAACAGGTAACCTCTGCAATAATATTCACAGAAATATATTTAAAATGATTTTGTCGTGGAAGCTTTCACTCATCATGGCGCTGTTTGGTCTCCCTCTGGTTAGGCCCGCTGCAGTCCGGGAAGGTACGGCATTTTGTACTTATCCAACATTATTCCACTCTAGCATATTGATATCAGTGAGGGTTCATAGCAGTGCATATAACCAGTGCAGTCCTGTTAATCCCTCGGTCAGGACCTGATCACACGAGATCGCGATATTCGTATTCGTAGACTCGCCACGAGCTGCCTGCCTGTCCTCCAGGCACCGCTGGCTTACACAGGGCTTTGCATCCAGTAAGTCCCTAACCAAATGATGTTGAAGAGTATGATGCTGTGCCTTCAGACTGTGAATGCCCACTCACGGAAGACCCTGTGTGCGGGGTGGATTCTAAGACATACTTGAATAGCTGCCATTTACAGTGCACGCAAACAGAGATGAAGCATAAAGGGGAATGCGCTGAATCTTCATTGCTCTCCGGTGAGTGAGCTTCTTTTACTAGACCTCGCTCAACAGTGCAAAAGTAGGATATTTGCCTTGATGCTTCCTCTACTCGTCCTCAACAATTTATATCTCAAATGTAACTTCTGAGTGTTGCTTTCCTTGAAATGGGTAAATAAAGCTGGCGTGCCTCACTATTTTCAAGTCATTGTTTGTTCCCAGTAGCAAAACGTTTGGCAGCGGTAGCTTTGTAATGCAGGCTAAGGCCAAGTTGTGTAGTATCGTTCATGTCCTCCTACAGGCCAACAAATAGAAACGGATCAAAACGGTATGTCTGTTGCTCTGGTGACGCTATACCAGACGTACTGTATGGAACGGTACCTGCCGGACTCTCCTTAGGCCTACTTGTAACGGCAAGCTTAAGCAAGCTAGCTTAGCTGCCTTTGCTACGACTGTTTGCGATAAAAAGCAGAGACCTTCAAGTTTTTCGCAAGTTACTTTACTGTCGTTGGCGCTACATTCATATGCAACAACACATCAGTGTGTGCGTTGTGGTGATTACCTGCTCAGAGTGCATGTGCCCTCAAAAATACAGTCCAGTATGCGACACCCGCAATACGTTGTTTCACAATACCTGCTTACTGAATTGCAAGGGGAGAACCCTCGCATATTTAGGGGCATGTGTAAGACAATCCTGTGAGCCATTTACGGTTCTTTACACTTCGCTGAGTCCTTCTGTTTAGGCCTGCCTATGCACAACGTAGGTGTATCCATTTGTATCGCCAGGATAAGGATGGCTAGTACCTGCCTTTGAATTGCCCAAGTGGCGCCGGATGTGTCCTTTTTTTTCTGCAGCCTGCTCATGCTTGGGGTACAGCGACCCTGTGTGCGATACCCAAGGCAGAACTCACACAAATGAATGCCTACTCGAGTGCAGAAACAAGACTCTAGCCTACAAAGGACCTTGCAGTTCTTCCTCTCGTAGGCCGCTGCTTTCGTGCTCGTAGAGTCAACTGTTTCATTAGTGTATTCGAAGTGCCTAATGGCACGTCCAAGTATACCGAGGTGCAACCGCTTTTGTGTGCTGTCCTTTTGACGTAGCGTGTTTGTGCCCAAGCACAGTGGACCCAGTATGCGACACAACAGGAAAAACGCATCAAAACAGATGTTTCCTGCAGTGCAGCAACGCAACTTTTGCACACGGCGGTTTCTGTCAAGAACATCCAAGTGAGTAGCACCTTTTTTTTCTTCACTTTTTTATGCTCCTGTTCGACCCAAGAAACAACAACGCCAACCTGCAAGCTAGCTCTCACCGAGGCAATGCCCAATACAGCTACCAGCTGTCTGTGAAAGTTCTGTGGTTGCTCTATGCTGCAACTTTTGATTTTTCAGACTGTGTCTGCGCCGAGACATATGACCCAGTTTGCGACACTGAGGGCACAACGCACCGTAATTTATGCGTCTTGAGGTGCCTCCGCAAAAGTTTGGCTAACTCTGGCGTTTGTCAGGCAGCTCCAGCTGCGGGTAAGATAATCCCTGTGAGGTCACAACTCCGTAGTGCCGTGGCTTAGTTATCTGACGTGTTAACGTTCTTCTGTCCAACGCGATGAGTCAGCTAACAGGAATCGTGCTTTTGTTATTTATTCAGCAAATTGCGTTTGTCCAACGGTCCTCCGCCCAGTGTGCGACACCGAAGGAGTGACACACGATAACCAGTGTGTAATGAGATGCCGGAGGAAGGCTCTTGCTTACGAGGGTGCTTGCCAGACAGTGCCAAGTGAGATAAATGTTTGAAACTTCGGGCTAGTTTCGCTGAACGGTGACTGTCACTGAGTTGTCTGTGTGGCGCCGCACATGGCTCTGTAAAATGAGGACATATTTTTGTGATTTCGTGCCTGAATGTGCAGATTGCGCCTGCCCTTCGGTTTACCGCCTAGTGTGCGATACCGAAGGGACGACACATCAGAACGAGTGTGAACTGAGATGTAAAGGGAAAACACTTGCCTATCAGGGTGCTTGCGGGGCTACGGGAGGTAAGGGATGCAATCTTTTTGCGTCAGTCAGATACGACATGAGCTATGTCTTCTTATTTCCGCTCCAATTTTCTTGATGTCCTACCTGTTCGTATGCTTCACACTTTCGTTGTTGATTCTTCAGGATGCGTCTGCCGTCGCGAGTACAAACCAGTCTGTGATTCCAATGGCATCACGCACCCGAACAGATGCTATCTTAATTGTGCCCGCGCTCGCTTTGCTTATAGTGGCGCATGCAGAGGTGAGTTGAATATAGTTGAATTTATCTGACCGCTGCACCCAAGGAATTGCTGGGTATCCTCTGAAGGTACTAGACTGTGAGCAGTTCATTTACAGTTAGCTGCAATCCACTAAGTTGAATGCGCCCGCAACAGCTCGTCATTGTGGTCTTGTCCCTCGGTGTGCACAGGTATCTGAAGAAACCGCCGCGAGTCCACAGCAAGTCATTCACTGGGGGTTCACTGGGGGTCCACTGGCAATGGCGCAATTATCAGGACAAGCATCTTCAACCCTACTAAGAAAACACCTGAATGAGTTCTCTGTGACGCGTCAGAGTGTTATCTCAACCGACCGCGCCATGCATACTTCCACAGCGCATGCTAATAGAGCCACTCGACTGGAGTTCTGGAATGGCCAGCGTGGCTTCTGCTTGGAAGTTCCTCACTCGCTTCTCTGTATCCACGATTTGTTGCTCATTTGCATACTGAAATATAAATATCACCCGTTACATCCAGCCGCGTGAAGACGAACAAAAATAACTCTATAGAGCCATATAACATAGATAAAAATTTTGCTCAAGAGCGGTTCACATTCTCTTTGCGGATTGATCAGATGCTCTGTGCGTTCTCAGAAATCAGGCGGGTCCGCATTAAAACATACTTATGCAAATTTCCAAATATGTCACATCCATCTGCCAGCCACTCGCTATGCTCTGCACAACAAACAAAACAAAACAAAACATAAAAAAAAGTGGAGCCTTTCTGGCTGTAGGAATGTGCAGGAGCCACAGCACGGCCGCACCTGTAGCAAGTGGGTAGCACGCTTATGGTAGCTCATATTTGCTGATGTTTAAGCCTCGTAAAAGAATAGAAAGCGAAGTTCAAGCTGCAGCGGCTAGACGATAGGGCAGGTGTGGTAGTAGCTATTCGAGCCGCTGCAGTTCAACTCGCGTCAAGTAATTTAGTGCACTTGAAAGCCGAGTCCTCGCGAAGTTTATCCAAAACTTTGATAACTTCAAACGGGCTTCACAATGATCTTACATGTCATGTAAAATGCAGATTCTGGGAGCGATCTGCCATGCGACGAGATCACTTAAAGGTCGTCGTCCGACCACAGTTGCCTGCGGGTATAGTCCAAGCATCGAGCTGCAAAGCAACGCAATGGCCTGTAATGGGTGGCTCCATACATCAGATAACAATTTAGTGGCAAGGCCTGATGCCATGCACTCGCAGGGCGAGCCGTTAGCTCTTGAAACAGTCGCCATTAATGAACAAGCTTCCGACACTTCCGACTATGAAGAGCATCCAAATGCTGGACATTAACCGAAAGAAAAAATGGCCCAATTGAACTCTTGTAGACAACGCCGTTACGCAAACCGACGCTTTCTAGAATGCGAAAAATTTTGCCAACCTTGTGCTTGCTACTGGCTGCGGAAGAGCCGGCGTTCTTTTGGAACAAGATATTCATTGTGTGGCAGATTAAGGCATTTCTGAGAGGCGATATTTTGTAACAAATAATGTTGAGCGTCTTTGCAAGCGGATGCATGTAACACCTGTGCGCACACGGCGGCGGCCCCGATATCTGAAGATCGAATTGACCCTGAATGCACTTAGAAGGCATCGATAGAGAGAGTGTGTTTAATGGCTATCAAGTGTCAGACTTGTGGCTTTTCGGTCCTGCTCCGGGTTCCGACAAGCCGGGGCGCCCTGCACTGATGTCTCACATAGCAGGACTGCAGGTGGCAACACTCCCAATAACGAGAAATGCACATGAAGTCCCAATAGCGGAAGCATTTTCTGTCTTGCTCTGTCAATCTCACCAAGTAACACTGAGAAGTGCGCGACAACAGGCGAGTAGGCTCTGTGCGTACATAGATACCTCACCTGTGCAGCCCATACTCAATGCGCCGTTAAGAGAACCCTTTCTTTTCATACTGGCTTGCGCTACAGACTTTTCAGTCTTATCGCTGTCTGACTCCGCCCCCAGCTTCAGAGGGAAATATATCAAACCCCTGGCTGCAATGCAGCGCACAACACTTGGTGCAAGCAGTACTGAGACCGACACAAGTTTCCAATATTTTTTAAATTTGTGGGCAAAAAACGTTACATGAATCCCCTAAAAATGTGTCACCTGCTATTCCTACTGACGTATGTGAGATGAGATCCACAATGGAATACAAAATCAAGTGCATGCACACCAAAGCGAAACTATTTTGAAGCGTTCACAAGCGCAGCAAAGGGAACAGCTCGTCCTGTGCATTATCGCTGAAACTATATTCTGTACCCTAACTTTTACCAAAGCTGTGAACCGTCTTCTTTTTTATGGAAGCTACCCGAAAATGAGTCACGACTGACTACGCTTCCTGACGTCGAGGCATTCCATGCGTGTGAGCGGTTCTCGGAGCAAGATTAGCAGGCCGAATAGTCTATTAAGTCTGTTCAGTAGTCGATGCGCCCGAAAATATTCTTATTTGTAAGTTTAGCTTCTTTCTTTCTTCCTTGTATCAGGCTAGGAAAGACATCAGAGAGGCGCTCAACGCTAAGCGCTGTGGCCCTCCAGCACCTGTCAGTTTTCATGGCGGGCTGAACAGATCAGCTTCGGAGAAGTTAAGCCTAATGTCCGTTAGGATTTTTTGTCGACTTCCTATCAGGATCATCACTGCCCTGTTATCTGTCTCTTTCTTAAGAGGACGCTGAAGCCATCTGGTCCACCAGCTTTGCCGACGGCAACTCCATCCGCCGCTGGGAACAAACGCCTGAACTATCTGGTAGGGCGCTGTTTGTTTTGGGATACGCGTCATTACATATTTGATCGACTTAAGTGCATGCAACGTCGGTGTGGAGGACCTCACGAGCTACTGTACCTTTTTCTTGATCCTTGACAAGCAGCGCTATCAGTGAAGATGATGGGGTCACAGCAGAGTTTTGGGGACTTCGCGAACAGCCTGTCTTTTTATGGAGGTACGCAGCAGCAGGAGAAGAAGGGCTATGCAATGGTGTCGTTGGACGGGACGCCAATGAGGAACGGATCTACGGGAGGGAAGCCAGCGGTGCCGGGTTTCCTTGGAAACATCCTGGGGACAAAAGCAGGAGCAGCTGCACCTGAAGGGACGGGAGCAGGCGCAGGGATTTGGGCGACTCCAGGAAGGCTGCCAAGCGGGCCCATGAAGCCTCCGCCCCGCCAACAGGAACAGAATGGCTTGCTACAGTCGGGCTTGTCTGCAGTCAAGGATGGAGCGTCTCGCATGCTTGACGGAGCGAATTCGGTGGTTAACGCAACCAGGGCCACCATTTCTGACAACCCTCTTTCTTCACAGAACATGCTTATGTTCGGTGTTGTCGCTGCAGTTGGTGTGCTTTTCATGTTTCTGGCATTCCTCACTCTCCCTCTTCTCGTTTTCGCCCCGTCTAAGTTTGCTTTGCTTTTTACCATGGGCTCTTTATGCTTTCTAGCCGCTTTAGCTCTCCTCAGGGGCGTAGCTGCTCTCTCTCGGCATCTCGTGGAGCCTTCCAGGTCAGCAGCCTGCCGCTGCGGGCCCCCTTATACTAGACGGAAGTTATTTTCCCCACCCCCACACACTGCTGCACAGTATACCTACACAGCTGCCTTTGTCCATTTGCTTAGGCCGCAAATGTGCAGAGGGAAAGGGCCAACATGATTTTGGACTGGTGTGCATCGTTTGTTGTGGATCTCTGCAGGCTACCGTTCACAGCGGTTTACTTCTCGTCCTTGTTTCTGACGTTGTACGCCACCCTGATGGCCAAGTCTTACGTGCTCACTCTTGTTTTTTCGGTCCTGCAGTTGTGCGGATTGACTTCTTTTCTGGTGTCATATATCCCAGGCGGTTCTCACATGCTCAAGTTCATGGGACAGGCTGCGTGGCAACTGCTGCGAAAAGCGTTCAAGTGTGGAGGTTCTCGAGACCTGCAGCTTCCCATGTAGTTCAGGTGCATCGACAGCTGCAACTACGGCCATCCCGTGGCCACAGTTGGCGATTAACTCAAAAAACTTGAGCAATTTGCATCCGGCAAGGGCTCGTTTGCTGTCTGCCCACTGTAGCTGTACGCGATATGCTTGGAGTCGCGGGGTGCAATAGCTGTTCCAAGTAGTGGCGTGACTGCGCAAGCGCGGAGAGGCTTCAGCTGTTCAGACGTGTTACATTAGATGAAGCACCATCGCATACCCTCCGTGGTGTTGCGCCTGCAACTGCTGAGCCGTACTCTAAAGTATCCGGTTGCATTTCTCGCGTAAAATCCTCTCCTTGGTGAAAATGCCCCAGTGAGCTCGGTGCGGGACGCTGCGGAGTAAGGAGAGGAGAGGCAGCCGCTTCCATTAATCGACGGGGACATTTTTTAGAGCTTTTGCACCCAATTTAGTATTTTTTAGAGGAGTGTCTTTCATTATTCGCTAGTTGATTATTCACCAGTTGAGAGGGGGGCGAAGACCTGCCGATGGGTGGGGGTGCAAATCAAGACTACGTCGCGACAGCAGGCAGCGAACTGACGCTTAGAAGAAAGCAACGAAGGCATGAAATATTGTTGTAGAAGACACGGGGGAGTCTAACATACAATAAGTGAGTCAATCAGAGTAAAAGTGGAGCCTCATGCTAGGTTGGGGACTACAGGCGGTATGGTCAGTGTAGGTTTGACGAGGCCGCCATTGGGGAGAACTGCACTAAGGGAGTAAGCTGCACTACCACCTTGAGCTCGAAAACGGCGGAATCAGGCAAGAGAAGCCGCTGAATTTGCGTACTAGAGCTGCTTTGAGGTGACCTGGGGAAGAGACGCTTAGTAATCGTTGACCATTGTTAATTACAAATGAGGATTTCCCAGACATTAGTTGCTGCAGAGCCTGCTGACTCATAGCCGTTGGAAATTGCTACGAGAGTTAATCACTTTATGCTCAGGAAACTTTCAATGAACCAAGGAGATGGACACGCCGCACGGCTACATGTAACTACAATGCATTGGCTTGAATAACCGCGGACCACCCCTCCGCATAATGCCTAAAAAACTGTGGTTAATTCACACAATACAGCACTATCTGCAATGCGTAGTCCCTAATTTCGCTATTTCACTGGTAGTTGCTCATCGCAGTGCTGCTATGGAAGCCGCCGACACTGCAAGACGGAGATCAACCAGTCATATTGAATTATGCTCGCCACGCAGTAATATTGAGGGTCTTCTTCTGCAAATAATAGACAGTAAATTTTACCTCTCAACACAAACTTTTCAGGTGTTATAGAGGGTTTGCCGGAAAGCCAGGCAACTGCGAAGGTGCCACTGGCAGGTAGCGCATGTGCGACGTGCCTGACTGTAGAGCTAGAGCGCCCCCGAACAGATATGCTACTGTCAAAGAGCTAGTAAAGCACTTAACAGACGGAAATCAAGGTTTTTAATCGAGAAAGGCCCAGAAGACTTTGTCGCCCAGCACGTTGGGCGTTGCTTTACACAGGTTACCCCAGGTCAACCTCTGAAGACAGAGTGACCCGTGACCCCACAAGCGACAGGTCCTCTTCTGCCTTGAAACACCGAATGGGTACTTTTTGGAATGACGTTACAGGTTTCTGCCTCCACGTGATGATCAAGTTGTTGTAGTAGGCGAGAGGAATATCCTGGCAATCCGTGTTGAGGTTCCTCGTGAGTGCACACAATCTGAAGAATTGCAAAGGTGACAGAAGCAACCTCGGACAAAACGTAAAGCTGCCAGCAGTGGACTCAGAAAGTCACGAATTAACGTTTGTTTGCGCCATCGCCGGCGCCATGCTCTTCTAGGTTGCCGAGGCTATATCTGTTCTCTTACAATGTCAAGCTACGTCCGCAGAGCATTTTGTGCCTATGCAGCAGCAGCGGCTGTCACCATAGTGCCACTGACCTCAAGGGGACAGGACGTTCCTGTTCACCATAGCGCTCAGGCTGGCTTAGCTCAGGCCCCACAAATGCCACCCACTGCATCTGCACCCTATGGCTACCACCACATACCGTCTGACCCAGCTGCTGCTCCCCCACCTCCCCCTGTGCACAGTCACCATGGATACGGTACTCATGATCCGTCGATATCCCAGCACAGTCACGACGGCGTCAATATGGGCGCTCTGCCAAATCCATACACCCTGTGGGAACAGTCATCTGGCACGACGGAGCTAAGTACCCATTCTTGGAAGCCTCCTCTATCCCAAGAGAACCTCAGTATGTTCCAAAGTCAGAGTAAAGCTTATGTGTTTACAGGAGCGCTGTGTCGAGTGCACTTGCGTGGACGAATGCCTTATTTAAAGATAATGCGTGCCACTGTGCTTTTTGCGCTGCTCGCTGTCGGAAAACTCAGGTTTCTGGGATGTCGCGATGTCAACTGTTCCATCGGAAGACCACATCGTGCTAATGCCAGGAGAGGCCAACAGAACAGGCCAGTTCTGGCACCGCAATGCAATTTCCGCTGTCTACTTTGAGGTGCAGTTTGGGTTCGGCGTGTTCGGCAGAGATCCAACAACTCACCCTGAAGGACCAGCTGGTGGCGATGGTCAGCCCGAGGGATTTGCATTTTGGTATGTATATGAGCCCTACGCGAGCGTCTACCCTCGATCGCCGGAGGAGCAAGCCAACTGGAACCTCATAGGATACAAAAATAACCCGAAAGGATTTGGAGTTATCTTTAAAACAGTGGATCAGGCAGGCAACATCAATCCGTCCATTTCATGCATCCATAACACCGAGGACAACCGAGAACTAGCGAAGGAAATCTCGGCTTCCTCTGCCTTTTTCTATCAATACAGGAATAAATCCACTGTAGGTTTGTTTACCAGATACTTTTAGAATGAAGATGGGGATCCTCTAATGAGCAACTAAATTTGTCCAGCAGCCGAAATGGCTCCTGTCAGGGGATACACTAATACACAAAAGGCACAAAATTCCTTGCCCTTTTCTAAACAACAGAAACAATATTTTGCAAATGATTGTGCTTCAGCCAGTCCTTTTCCGCGTCATAGTTGGAAATCAGGGAGTTGTTGCTCAAATTCGGGAGTCTGTCGCCTCAGCGTGGGTCACTGCCTGCTCACTTGAGCATGTTCACTTGCACGCTCACGGTTTCATCGGTTTTACAGCCCATAATGGGATAGGCTCAAGTCAAGCGCCAACAGGAAATCAACCTACGGGAGATCAGGTTGTGTTGAACTTTGTGAAAGTGTGGAGTCTAGACCATATCCCCACTCAACCCGCTGCCCCTGTACCCCAACATGCAGTTCACCCTATGGAAACACAGCCGGTTGCAACAAGCCCTCATGCGCATTCCGCCCACCCTGAGCATTACGGGATCTATCCAGGAGCCACACATGACACCTCTCATATAGGTTTTGACGCGAGCCACGCGTAAGCTGCAGGCTTTGCATTATCTGTCTCTTCGCTAATAGCCAGATTAACGTTTTGCGGCCAAAAGAGCTCTCACTCCAGGAAATGAACCTAAGCATCTTGAAAGCATTCAGACTGCTTAGATTCATTTCCCTGTGCTTGGCTCAGAGACCAAACTCTGATGAGGATGTTGACGTCCATTGGGAACCAAATAAGCATGCTCAGTGTTGAAGTGAGCGATTTGCGGCAAGATCTCAGGAAGCTCTGGGGTGAGGAAGGGCCAGAAGCTGTGAGGTCTATCAAGTCGGAGCTAACTGGTTTTAAGGATCTGTTTAAACGCCATTCTCAGCAGCACACTTCAGCGCTACATAACATTCACAAACATGTGGAAACTAAGTCAGGTAAGCTTCCTGCTGCTTCACCGAAGTGCTGCCGTTTCTACTGGGTAATTTACTAGCTTGTTGTTCAAGAGGCGCCCTGACTGAATGCATTTGCTAGTTCACCTTTGTGAGCATAACTTTTATTCCTCTGTACTCAGGCTCAGCACACGACAGGGACTCGCCAATTCTGTCTCGGCTGACCGATTTGTCCAGCCAACTGGAAAAAGATATTGCAGTTAAGCACGCAAGCGCATTCCTCCTCGCTATGGCAGCGCTCGTTCTGGTCGTTTTATTTGCGTTGTGTTCGTGGAGGAAATTCCGGGCCATAGAGAAAAAACATATGCTTTGAAATGGCAAACAGTGACCTGGCCTTGTACTCAATGCGAACACTGGGACTCCAGTGCCTAGAAAATGAACCACAGTAGCTACAGAGTGGCTTCCTCACAAAAGCTGCAGGCATGAGGTGCGCTTTTCACGCCCCTCTGTAATTGCACTCCATGTGAAACAGAGCGCCTTAACGGTCGCTGGAAGAGGCAACTAGCCTGTTGGACAGGTTTGATTCATGATGATTTGCACTTCCATTTGGGGAGCGCTTTCAAGGAAGTTTAGTGTTATGTGAGTACGTGTCCGCCTAGCAGGGAAACGTGAGATTCCCTGCTGTTGTTAGTTAGCAGGCTATGCAGTGAGACGCAGTTTCCAAAGGAACTGCAGAATGTGACCCTAGTGAGAGAAGCAGAAACGTTTGGCAGACAGTTGCTTGCGGTGCGCACAATCTGAACTCGGTGTCACACATGTTCAGTGGGAAGTGTGGGGAGTAGCGGGCTTCAGAGACACTGCGCAGCGCTGGAGTACGAAGTTGCCAAGCATTACTTTCTATTGTATCCACATGGCGCCACCTGGTACCCAACTTTATAAGCTACGGTAGTTCCCATTTCGGCGACAGCAGCTCTACAGATGATAAAAAGGAGAATGGACAGTCGTCTCCTTCCCTCCACTGTCCGAAGAGGGATCTCTATATGGTTTAATGTGGCAAAAGCAATTGCAGCAACCCAGCTGCGTATGCCGCTTTTAGGTGGCTGTTCCCACTTCACAACCGGCGCTTGCAGCAAAGAGACAACAAATGCTTCTTTACACAAGCAACATTACTGTGTCACTGCTGAACACCATGCACACCTTGCTTTGACGCGGAATCTGCCATCATAGCATGATACCAGCGTTCTTAATCTGTTCTGAGGTGTGCAAAAATTTGCTCTGCGGAACACTTTAGACCTAGCTACTTTCAGCTGCGGAAGTTGTCATCGCCACTGTCCAAACTGGCATCACCCCGAGCCTTACGATTGCTAGTGAAGCATTCACTATTTGAAACTTTGGCAGAGCGCGAGCCAAACTGCATTGCACGCTTTTTTGCTACGGAGCTAAAAGGCAGCCCACAGTAGGCCGCACAAAGCCGCAGGAGCCACTTATTTCCAGAGCTCAGGTTGTTGCTCGTAACTTCCATTTTCGTATTATTGCCGAGCTCTGTTGCCGGACTATCAGGCAAGCTCACTGCACATATTTCTAATCTTTCTTCGGAGTTCTCCTGCTCTCTACGCGTTGCCGACGAGTTCGCTAAGGTTCCAGAACAGCTATAAGGGGCCGGATTTGTCGCTTTAACGAGCAGGCGGTGCATCACCTCTTCGACTCGGGTACGCGCTTCACTAGACGGTTGGACGATGTAATCAAATGGCACAAAGCAACAAACAAAGTGCAACAGGTGCTCATCAAGAAATGGCAAACGGGCCCACCGGCGGAAAGCGCGAAGGGTGCGGGAATCTCGGCCCATATTGCGGAACCAAAGGCGCTTCAGGTCCCTGCAGACACGCTAAGCCACACCGTTTTGGCAATCTGGCACAAAGTCGTACTTTGTCGTTTGATACAGTCAGAATTAGTATTGAAGAATAGCTAAGAAGTAGCTGGTCAAGCTCTAAGTATGCGTAACCTCACAGGATCTGCTCTTGTCGAAGTGCGCCCCAGCCTTTAGTCCGATTCGCCGTCCGGTGGCGAGCATATCCGCCAAATATTTCATCCGCGCCACTGCCCATTAAAAGTATCGCGCTCTGCAAGGTGTATGCGCCTGTTAAACGACGAAAAACACTTTAAATGCCCTGTGGGTGTCTAATTGATCGTCTGCGGTATTTCCCCTGACCGTTCAAGGGCCATCGTGAAAGTTAACTAATCTAAGACAGAAACCCAAATTGTCCATTGCTTCGTAGTGCATAGTCTGGAACTTGCCTGTTTTTGTATCGACGCACTTCAATCGCCGTTGGTCTACGCTGCACCACTGGTGCAGCTCAGGCAGTTGCATCGCCATGAAAGGCCGCCCACTTTCAAGCGTAGCCAAAGGCACTCCACAAGGTAGCACGGAAAGGGATTTGAATGGAGCATGGCTCTCTTCCCTACATGGATGTTCGTCACTGCATTCGTCGGTCTTGCCATCTTCTTCAGCAACTGCATCCTTCTTGGCGCCGTTTTGGCGACGCCTGCGGTGTACTGGGCACACAGCATGCACGGCGACGTCAATGTCAGAAAGCCGTATTCGCCCTTTCCCGTTCACGTGGATCTCAGGGCATGCTTGGGGCTGCAGGTCTGAGGATGCCCGCTGTGCTGCAACAGCTTGCAGCTTCGAGCAGCAAAGTTTGCATGTCCCGTGCACACAGTCGCTCTTTGCCTGCCGGCGGCACACCCTGCAGGTGCCACCCTTCTGCTCTGCTGCTGTTTTCCCACAGATAGTGGGTCCTTGATTTGGTTTTACCGGGCACCCAAGCTGTGTTGTATCCTCAGTGTGCTCATCGGATTCGCATTTCGTGCGCCGGGCGTTATGGCAGCGGGGTTGAGGAGGTGGGCGGATTAGAAGGTCCTTCCATAGAGACGACTCGTGCAGCAGCAACTGCCACTGCTCTTTTCTGCCGAAGTTTGGGGAGACTAAATACCCGGTGCCTCTGCAACGGCAAGTGGACACAGCATAGATTCTCGCTCGTTGATGCATTCCTGAAGCTGCTGCCTCCTAATAAAGTGCTAAAGCCGCTCACGTAGGCCTTTACTGGGCAAAGACTAAGCGAAGTCGCACAATTGAGAGCTTGCTTCTTCGTCGTTACCTGGAAGCGAAGTATAGGGGAGCAGCAATGTTAAAATCCATGTGGCTTCGCTTGGGGTATATGACCTCTAGAAGCTGGTCACGGCATTCTGCACTCTCTGTGGTTGACACATCTACGGCCACAAGCCTCAATTCAAGTGCCCACTCTCCAATCAGTGTGAAGCTGCTGTTGTGCGAAGCGTCAGTGGCACTGCTGCCATCGCACTGTCGCTTGTAGCGTACACCTAAGGATTCCAGCAAACAGAGCAAGTCCTGGAAACTACGCAGTGCGGTCAGTCTGTCTGGAGCCTCTGCCGAAAAGCAGGCAGAAACGAGCTCTACAACAACTACCTTTTGAGGAAGCGCTCTGTGCGAAGGGGCACATCCACTCGGGGCACCCGAGCGCTCAGCTGCCTGAAGCATCACCCAAATAATATCACAATGAGCAGCTGCTTAGATGCTACACAGAAACAATCGTTGCTGCAAGTGCCAATACTCCCAGTTTTCTGGATTTCAAATGCCCATTCATCAAGAATATAGTCTCACCATGGCAGCAGCGAGGACCCGCAAAACCATCCCCGCAAGCAATGTCGAGTCAACGCCCCCGGAAAACAAAACCCCTACGAATACATTCTCAGCCTCCGTAGCACTCCTACTCACGGCAGGCCCGCCACCACTCTGAATCCGTTGCAGTGCTTCTGGTATTGACCGTGATACGGCCTCGAAGAGCTGCCTGTACAAAGACGCTAGTACTTGTGATGATGTAATTAAAGGCGGGCCTTCAGTCCTTTGCAGATCACATGAGTTTCCTAGAGAAGGTGGGCGTTCATCCTTCCCTGCGAATCTTTTGAATGGTTTGAAAATGCTCTCCAGAAGCTCTCTCTCTTCGACTAGAGCGCACTCCATGTCGTGCCGAATGTTATCAACGGAATCCATTGAGTCCCAGAACAGTTCGCGAGAGAGAGCACAATTTTCGCAGGTACACCACATGTGCTCTGTGCGGATGATGCTCGGCCGTTCCCAAGGGACGCAGATCGCGTTGTGCAAACCGGGAATGGATGCCTCGCTTAACTGCAACTCTGCACTGCGCGCAGGCGGCACTTTGAGAGGCATAAATGCTGAAGTGGCAGAAGCGTTGCGACACCTATATGAGTCTGCCAATGCCCACAGATCCACAACCCACACACCGTCCACAGGAACCTCTATGACATTTTCTTTAAACTTTCTATGCCACCCAAGAGTCCCGCCAGCACTGCGCAACTCTGCAGCAGATGTTGCCAAGACAAAGCTGGGAGACAATTCTCCTGGGCTCTCGGCAGGCGCCACAGCCAGCAAAGATGCAAGGCCGAGCTTATCTCTGCAGAAGAAGAGAAGGCCGTAAGCTTCAGAGTGGAATACCACAGAAAAAGCAGCAGATGAAAAGGCATTTTCTTTGGAACTGCAATCGAACCCTGGCCCCTGTACTCTGGAACTCTCTCCGTCTCGATAACGGGCAGCACAGCAAGTGCACCACCGACACCGGCGAGACAGAGCAACGCAGACTCGCTTCGAGTAAGCTGCACGACTCGCAGCTAAAACTTTCGACCTCTCACAGCAATATTCTCCTTTGTACTCATTCTCCACCCCACCGACGATGTTTTGTGGTGTCCAACTCGCAGCGCCTGCTGCTGTCGTGTCGCCTCCTGCCTGCCGTTGAGCCAGCCATACACTTCTCTTGCAATCGGAGCTGTAGCTCCCACATTCATCCTCAACACGAGCTACAGACTGGAAGAGGTCTTTCCAAACCTCGCTACCCCCAGGAAGCGACCCAGCGTCTCCAAGTACAACCAAAGTTTGGCGCGATTTGCCGCAGCTGCAGCCCTCGATTGCCTCTGACGCAGCAGCTGGTACGTGAGTAGACTGATATATGTGGCTGCCGTTAAACTGGATGTGGACGCTGCTCGCACTCGCTCCACCGCTGCCACCCATACACCTAGGGAAACCTGCAGTTACCACTACTTGACCCTTATCCTGTGCCTGGGGAGGCAGCCCACCCAACCATACTGAGACCCTGAAACCGCAGCTCATGTTTATATTATAGCGAAAAATTTTTGTTCCTTCCTCGTTAGCTGCGAAGAACGGACTTTGCAAAGAAGGTGACGAGGCTCTGCATCCGTGTTGAAGGGAGTTCACCAAACTTCGCAAATAATCCAACTCCGGCACCTTCTGACTTGCGTTGCAGCAGAACTGCAATATTTCCTGGCCCATGAAGATTCAATGATCATTTTAAAGATCTGCATGCATTATTTGATCTTGCTGCTCGAGATCCACACAGATCCTCATGCACACAGCGAAAGATACACGTGCCGTTTAGTAAATCCTCCGACCGTCGGAGCAAAAAGGCCTCTTGAACACATAAGAAGTACATTAAGACGGAAGAATACATTAGGAGTGTCGGTGGCCTACTGGAGTAGTTCTCGTGAGAATCAGGCACGAACAACCAGTGCTCAGCCCCAAACAAGGAAGGCTTCAGGCGCGAACAATCTTCGTCTGCAGGGAGATCAGCCCAGTCCCCCGGTTTGAAAAGTGTGACATTTATTTCTGCGTGCCCTTAAGCTGATTAAGATGAGCGTTCATCGAGCGATCATGCGAATTTTCTGCGTTTCCAGTACTCCCCTAGTCGACGCCTTTACCACTATTCTAATTCGCCCGCGCCCGAACTGACTGCTGCACTTGAAAAGATACGACAAACAGTAAAATATTGCCTGTCTTCCAGTTACTCGCCAATGCTCGACCGAGGCTTGAAGAAAACCTTAGCTACGAGACATTGCAATGTCTAGACACCCAAAACATCAGACACTACACTGTTTGGTAGCTAAATACCTAACACCGAACAGGTAAAAGTACTGATGAATCCAGTTCATCCTGTTTTTGTGCTGATGGTTCTTTTTTCCTAAACAGAGGGGAATGATGATCCTGTTGACTCTGTTGGCAACAGCAGTTTACCACTCGTTACTTTTTGCCTCAACAAACCCAGTTGACCACAGTGAGCTTTCTGTGAGGTTGAAGAAGATAGATGACTTCATGGAGAGAAACCACGTATGGGTTGTCCAACAAGATCGACGTTTCCGTCGACGGCGGTACGCGAGCTTCTTGCAGCTGGGCCAGCAAACACTGACGCGGTCTGCTGGCATACGCCTGCACGATCAAGTGCTCGCGTCGCGGAAACTGGGTACAGCATGATACAACGTGAAAAGCTGAAATTTTAGCTTGTAAAAAATTGTTTTTTCAAAATTTAGCCACCTACTTTGCCGACATCGGGATTGGGACAGATCCCGTATCAACATTTCGCGTCCTCTTTGACACCGGCTCATGCGAATTTTGGGTGCCTGATGAGAGCTGGTATGAACGCGACTGGGTGCTTGCCTCTAAAGCCTACATGTCTTGAATGCTCTGCAATGCATCTGCAATTCCTTGTTCATTTGCATCTGCGTATTGCAGCACCACCAAACAATGCAGAGGGCACCGGAAGTATGTGCGAAGTTCCACGTTTGAGCCTCGTTTTAACGAGGACGGCAGCGCAAGCCAGATGAGCGTGCAGTATCTGAGCGGTTCGCTCAAAGGCTACGACGGTGCGGTTGGCTTATCTATGGAACTCCCTTGTCGTTGCCAATGAGGGATTTCCACACAGCATATGACACGGTTCACTTGGGCAGCGACATATCTGTTCCTCACACAAACATCGGCTTTGCGGTATGTGGCCGCAGGCTCTCATGTGATGAGCCGACAGGAGATTTTACATTCTTTTGTCATTTGATTTCTCTATCAGACTCATCTTGATATACCGCTGCTTCAAGATCTAGAATGGGTACGGGAAATGGAAGAAACGTTTAGTGACAGCTGACTAAGTGTTTATCTAAGGACGGGATTGTTGGTCTTGGATTCAGGAACCGCGAGATAAGCGAGCGAGGAGTTCTACCTTTGTGAGTCTCCCTGACAATTCATATGAAGCATCGAAAACCAAAGTGCATGCACTCAGCATTGACCACATAGCTGCAAGCGGATCATTAAGAAAAAAGAATCTGGCAGTATGTTTGCGGCCCCTGTTTCCATTTGAAAGACCTGTGCGACCGCCCGCAGAACCAGTTTGCGTACTACCTCTCAGCCGATGGTGAGCGGAACGTTAACGCATGCGCAGCCCTATTTGAGGCTCATTCAAGCAACTGAGCAGGAGGGGCGTTGACATTTGGTGGCGCTGATTTATCCAAAAAGGAAAACCCAGCAGAGGAATTCAGGCAAGGATGCTTGGCCTGGCCGGCACACGGAGCCTTCTGTCTCACCTATTCTGTCACACAGTTGGGTCGCAGTGGATCCGTCCAATAGCTACTGGACAGGTAACATATTTCTCCCTTCATGGTGGACGTTCCGGCAGACTCTCTTGTGCACTCTCGGCTCGCAACAGTGCAGGTTCTGAGCGTTGTGAAGACTGGCCGTCTTGCTTTCTACTCTACACGAACCTCAGATTTCTCAGCAAAGCGGCGGGATGCATATGGCAGTATGTTCTGCTGGTTGTACTGTAGGGTTGGGAAGCCATCAAGCGAGTGCAGCTGGAGGCGCTTCCATCGTCGATACTGGCACCTACTTAATATACGCCCCAACGGTCCGTTGGCCTGGAGGCTCTCTTTATGTCGCGCTTGCGCTTGTATGCACACATTTATTCGGCCTTTAACCAGAGAGCAATGGACAACTATCTGTCGGACCTTCATGTATCTTCCTGCGACGACAAGCAGAGCCTCCCTGACCTGGTAAATGAACGGACACCCTTACTTCAATAACTACGCTCAGCACAGGAATACGTGATATTGATCTTATTCCAATGACGCCACTGAATTTTTATGTTTCAATGCCTACAGAGCTTCCAATTCGAGGGAGTTCCTAAAAGTACGGAGCCAACGAACTCTCCGTTGCTTTGGAGTCCAGCGTCACAGAAGCACTGCCAGACGGAGTGCCAACTGTTGTCGAGTTGCAACTAAGTCCGGACGACTACGTGTTAGAGTTCGTAAACGACGACGGCATGCATGAGTGCATGCTGGGGATAGCGGCAGATGACTCCGAGGCCGAAGACGTGGGTTTGGGTTGTACTCGATAATGCCTCGAGTAACTTTCAAAAAATAATAATATTCGATCCTCTAGGGCTTAAAGGGGTGGACTTTCGGCCAGGTAAGAAAAACCGAACGAGCTAACTCCCACTCGCTAAACGTAAACTAAATCGCATGCGCGTTAGGTTCTCTTGCGGGGATACTACACAGTTTTCGACCGCGATCATCTGGCCGTCGGTTTCGTGCGCGCAAAACACTAAACTTCCCTCTGTATCTCTCTTCTCTCACAACGATTCTGGAGGTGCTAGCAAAACAAATATTCTTAAATTGCTCCACCGTCCGTAAAAACAGAGCACTGCACTGTTTCATAACTGTGCCGGCCTTGGCCAGCAACACAAACGCTGAATAAAAACATATTTACGAAGACAGAACTAGCGCAGATGAAGGCATTCCAAGCTTTTCCGACCATAGCAACTTGCAGCTACGTGCACTATTGCGCTTGCCGTCCACTCACGACAGATGTTACGAAACTGTGGCAGCAACACCAGATAACCACTCAATACGCCACACCAAGAGCCACAGACATTGCGCATCCTCAATGTCGGTTCCGTAAGGTCACAGAGTCGCAATAACGGGCATCTTAATAGTTCCAACCTAAGCCTAGCAAAACAGATGCAACCCGGTCGAACCTCAAGCGCGTGCACCATTCTACACGGAAAAGGCGCCGTGTCCAATGCAGTGATTCTTGAAAGGCCGCTGCGTCAAATTAGTCCCTTAGTCCTAACAGGTAGGCTCCCGTCTCACTCAAGTAGAATGTGCCCCCCTCTAGATACACCTGGTTGCCGAGCACCAACTCCCTGTACTTATCATCTGGGGGAGGCACATAACCAACTGGCCAGTTCTTACCATTTGCATGCTCACACCTCTCAGATAACAATTCCGGAGAATGGTTCCCTGCGACCGCACACGACACGAGATCATGCCGTTCCTTCAAGTTTGTGGAGCTCACTGCTCGTTTCTCGAGGCCGCAATTTGTCCCACTGTTTTCATCACTTCTATTTGGCTCTTTCTTACCTGAAAATTTCTGTGAAAGAGGGAGCGTCAGCCCTACGCCGACAGCCGGGGGTGCAGACATCGTCATGGCGTAAACATCGGCATTCCTTGCCTTTTCGCAGCGTGGACTCGCAATTTCAAGTTTGTCTTGGAAAGTTTTGTTCGTTCTTTTGAAGCTCTTGTCCTCAGTCATAAAGGGTTCAGCGGTTGAAGGAGTCAGAGGTTCCTTTGCCTCTGCATCTTGCCTTGGTGTGTCCTCCGCTAGCTTGTGTTTTGTTTCCTGTTCGTCGCCCCTTGCAGCTGCATCTCCACTAGCTCCTTCATTGTCAAGTTTCCTCTCCTCGACATCGCTGTGGTCACCATGCTCTGCGTTCGCTGGTTTCTCAAGCTCTGACTGAGAAGGCTCCAAAGCGTTTTCGACAGACTCTGATTTCGTCAACTCAGGTACTGTGTCACCCAAGCCCGCGTCGTCCTGCCCTGCGAATTGCGACTTCTCTGGGCCTCGAGATCCCTTTTTGACTGCTGTTTTTCTCTTTGCAACAGTTCCTCGTGGCGTACCTTTGCCTTCTTTGGCAGTCTTCAACTGGTTCACTTTAAGCTCTGTTTGGCTTTCTTTGGAATGAGACTGTTGGAGAGAATCTCCTTCGTCCTTTGCTTCTGGCTTCACTAGGTCGTCCTTCTTCTGAGCGTCCACCGGCAAGACTTCAGGAACTTCGACTGTTCGCGGCCAGACTGTGGTAACAGCTTCACCATGAATCGCAGTGATTTGCTGCGGAGATATAGAGCTCAGTCCATACTGCGATGGAGCTTCGAACTGTTCAACTGGAGATATGGACCGTCCTGTCTGCGGCCCTCCCCAGTCGCCACGCAACTGTTCGCCAAGGGGAAGGTCAGCATGTAGCGCTGTAGGCCTCAGGCTGATGTTCTCTACGGGGTCACAATTGTACGCCCAAGATTGCTGCTGTGGCGGGGGTCCCACGGAATAAGACGGGTAGCACAGTGGGTCGACTGCCCTCGGTGTCTGGAACCTCGTCAGATTCTCTCTAACCTGAGAGGCAGGTGAGTACTGCATATAGACAGGTGCATGCCCTCCATAGTGACTCCTGTATCCACCAACGTAAGAAGGTACAAAGGCGTAGCCTGCAGGATACATTCTCGCAGCGTTGGCCATCCGGAAGTCCATTTCCGCGGCGAAATCTCTCCTCGGGCCCTGGCAACAGAGGGCGTCAGATGCAGCCCCTGCAGCTGCAAAACAATAAAGAGAAGCATGTGAGATAGATGCACGCGTAAATACTGGACGCTTGATGCCTCGCACTGACCTACTCGAACAATTTCTAGCTGAACTCACCGATCAATGGCACGCTGAACAGGCTGCACTCGGGCGGTTCTTCCTCTCGGGAAAAGTGCGTCATCTTCTCTTGTGAAATGCAAAGGAAAAACTATTTAGAAGCAGGCGATGCAGATAGACTCTTGCACTCTCCCAGTGTGGGGCCGCGCACACTGAAACTTGTTGAACAGAGTGGAGGGGCGCAAGAAAGTCAGCTCCCCTGGAGTATGCAGGATGTGACCGTGGCAGAGCCAGAAAAAACAAATATATATACCTGGCTTTCAACAAATGAATAAGCTGAAAGGATAGACAAACGCGTCTCTTGTGCTGGACACACACGAGGCGATGTGGTGGGGCCAGCACTGGTCCAGTACTCTACGCGTCAGCGCACACCCTTGCTAACTTCTGGCCCTTTCGGGTAGTCAGTTTCATAATAAACATGTAATTATACTTAAATAACCATTGAAATTCGTTACGCACTCTCTTGCTTCGCTAGGATAGGCGGAAGCGAATCGACGGTCTACATCGAGCACGGCCTGGGGGAAGGGGTCCACTCGGGGGGCTGCCCCGCCCCTAGTTGGCTCGTACAGTTTAGTAAATTTTCGATTTGCATCTTTATACATATGATTTACAGAATCCTAGTGGCTGTAGGGCAACTGTAGAGCTATTAAGCAGATAGGGCCGTACCCGTGCACCCTAGGGTGCGTTGCGCGCACACAGCTGGCAGCCCTGCACTTTGAACAATAGTGAAAACTTGGTCTATCAAATGATGTACGATTAATCCTGTAGATTGGAAGTATCGTGTTGCTGCTATACCCATCTGGGAGGAGGACAAAATGATCCTGAAGCACACGTGGTCACCTAGGATGGCCCATGGCTTCTTGTCTAAAAGGCTACAGTAGTAAATTCTTCTACATAATCGTTTCGCGCCAGTAGATTTGTGCTTTGAACTTAGGGATCAACGGCCTTTGCAGAGGAAAAGCAGAATTTAGGATTCACCGCGTAGGCAGCTTCAAAGTGCGCAGGTTCCGCAAAGCGGGCCTTTATCACGAAGAAATGCTAGGGCATTTTCTGCTACTTCTTTCCCGAAATGGCACAGCCTGGTGGCAGTAATCAGGCTGCTGCGCCTGAAGGAGCACTGCTTCGACTTTCCGTCGAGGCGATAGAGGCTCCTTATAATACAGCTGCATCCATCGCTGTTGAATTCTCTGTAATTGCCGATAAGGAGGCCCTTCCATCTTTGCACGTCTTTTGTACCTTCCTAGGAAAAGTTTATGAGACGGGGCCCCTCTCTTCATGGTCAGACACAGCACAAAGTGTGGCGGCCTGCACGGGTACTTCTTCCGTTCTCATTGCAGGGTCACCTGATCACGCCCAAAATGATTCCACAGACGACTGCTGCCAGTGGGCTGCAGTGAAATATGAGCTCATTCTCGCACCATTCAGTTTGCCCGCCACTTCTTGCGAGCAATTCATCAAAGAAAGCATAGCATTTACTGTCGTTAGAACCACAGAGTCGAGCGCAGATGTGGCTCAACGCAAAGAAGCTCAAACAAAGATATCTAGATCTGAAGGAAAGGAGAGAGTGGGAAGAAAGGGAGGCGCATCTCGCTCCGCCATTCCATCCGGAGAGTCACGCATAGCTGAGATGTCGGTTGCTCCCCTTTTGCTTCTCAAAGACGGGGAAAGAGCGCAGCCGCCCGAAGGAGTTCAAGAAACCCTCGTGCGGGTTCCAGGTTAGGCCCTGCAAAAGTGATATGCACCTTGAGAGTGTGTTGTCTAGCTCGCAGAATTTTCAAGTACAAGGCATTAAATAACAGGCCTTCACGCTAACGGCGCCGCAATACTAGTACTTAACGTTTTTGTCAAGAGAGCGAAGTATGTTGGAGAATTATTGCATGGACATGCTTCAGAGTCACTGTGTCTTAGGGCTTCATTCTTTCCACGTCGAAGTGAAAGCAATGACGTCGTTACTTTCACAGGAACTGCGGCACCTTTTAAATCCAGTCTGGATACTCATTAAAGATGTTCGTGGTCTTCCACTGCTCAGCCAGCCTCCCCAGCAGGCGCGACTCAATGATAGTCCTGGGGTTCCTGCAGAATCCATTGGGGCAATATCACCATCAACAACACCGGCATTAGGAGCAGCAGCGGCAACTGCTGCTGTGCCCGCTGCTCCTGCTGCGCTTTCCAGTGTACCTGCAAGCGATATAAAAGGAGCCCGTGACGAACTGCAAGCTAGGGGGCATTCTCTCAGTCAGGCGAAAAACCCTCCAGAAGCTGTTTCTCAGTACTTTGCACGTGCTCATGCCTTTCGAACAGTCTTAGAAACCGAGCCGAAGGAGCTATCTTCTGCTTCAACGGCAAATGCCATAAGATGGAATGCAGGCTTTCTTTGTTTCTGGGGGCCGTCAGCGGCTGATCAAAACGAGCTTAAAGATTTTATTGAGGAGCGCAGATTCAGAGTTGAGCTTCATCAAGCAGCAGAGAGTTCAGGACGTACGGACACATCAGAGTCATGCTCTAACATCACTGACGTTCAGTACCGAGAGAAAGCTACAGGGCGCATGCCCACAAAGCCTCAAAAGGCTGCAGCAGGAACTCCATCAAAAGCCCGAAGGCAGACGGCAAAATCACAGCGCTCTGCAATAAATCCCGCAGAGAGCGGTGGGCCTTCAAGTACCTCACCTCCAGGCTACGTTAATTATTTACCAGCGTCTTCAGATGCAACGCGACTCCGGCCTCCCCTTGCAGTCGCGTCATTCTGTTTGACGGCTTTATCTAGCTGTATGGCCACCCATCTTGTATTCTGCACTGATGTTCTGCCATTTTCTGGGCACCTAGTCGGAAAAGAAGGCAGCGAAACATCTCAGCCGAGACATATCAAGGGTCCCGAGTTCATGGAAAGTGGTGTCCGCATGTCAATAGAAATCAGGCTTGCAGAACCGCTCTTTAAAGGTTTGCAGCCGGGTGCTTCGCCCAGGCCAGCTGCGCTTCATCAGGCAAGGATCCCACGAAGTACGGCATGCGGCATGTGTTGCATTTCTTGAGAGCTGTTAAGTACTTTTGTTCAGCCAGCCGTATGTCCACGAGCGAGAAAAAAGCGATAGTGCTGAATATCTTCGTATCTTAGGACATGGCTACATCTGTGATGCTGCAACTTTGCCCGTTTGTAGACATCAAGGCGTTGATATGCACCAACGCAGCTGCAAGAGAATAAGGAAATATTCTGTCACGTATTCAAAAATGTGCGAATTTCTCAAAAATGGAAGTACATACAAATCGCATCGGTAACGTTTCAGAAAGCGTGCTGCGGCTTGTTCTGCATGGACCGCGTGTGCTTCAGCAAGGCGACGTGGTGGAGCGGAGTGTCCCCTTGCTGCTGCCAAAACAAGAAATAAATCGCTTATTTCTTGTGGCTCCGCTGGAAAGCCGACTGGCTAAGCAGGCGAGGCAATTAGGAGAGGAAGATAAAGATCGATGTTCGAGCGTTGAAAAGCTAGAAGGTAATGAAAATAAAGTGGGGCTCGCGACATCGGGAGAAGTTGAGGCTGAATCTTTGACTGGCTTTCTTGTCGAAGATACCAGGTAAGCTCCACACAAGACGTAAACTAGTTGACTTTCATCAGATCTGCGGTGAAACATACGTGATGAATAATTCGGTGGTCCTGTCTGCAAGTTAATGATCATGATTTTTTGGGTAAGGATGCCTGGAAGGATGACCAAACGCATACACTGCCAAACAAGGCTTGTTGATGACTATCTTCTCAGCAGTGTCTCTAGGCTGTTTCTTGTTTATTTGGTAAAGCAGCTAGGTGTTCTGCGTAATTGCAGGCTTCTCTATGGCGTCATTGAGGGCTGTGCTAATGGCTGCTTAGTGGATGCGGCGAAACTCCTGTTAAGAGTGATGAAAGAAGAGAAAGGAAGCGGCTCAAGATTGCTATACAATTCTTGTCTGCGTTTTACTGATAGACGCTACTCTGTGGCTAGCCTTGCACAGACTATAGACCTAAGGACTCCCTTGGGAGAGCTTGTCACGTGTAGGGCACTGTTTGATAAAAATAATGCTGCTGCGTTGCCTGTTCTTTCTGGTCTTTCGAAACTGCAAATGGCAACTTTATTTACTCGCGCGGCTGACCTCAAGTGCCAGGATCTGTTCCCCACCGCCGAAGAACTGCAAAGTATAGGCGAGTTTGTATCGAAGCAAAAATAGAAGATTTTCTGGCGCCTTTAATCTCGTATCGCTCGACGGATCCAATCCTGGTTGGGGCTCTTCCTGCTTGACTTGCTGCATGTGTGCAATTCTTCTTAACGGACCCGCTAACTTGGGCAAACGAAGAGTCATACTCTTTGGTTAGCATACAGAGGCTCTGCTCTACTCGGTATGCGCGTGAAACTGTCCGATGTCAATATTCGCACCTTCACAGAAATTTAATGGCACACATCGTATATTGTTATGTTCTGCCGTGAACGACGCAAAAATTCTCACAGTGTGAGGGCGTAAAAAGCGTTCAGATGTAAAGTTAAGCCTAAAGCCCCGCAGCCACAGTAGTAAGGGTTCTCCTTAACGCCGCAGCTGTGGAGACCTTGCAACACGCATAGCGTCCATCCCAGGAAATTACTTTTGGCCCTCCTCACAGGGGGTGCACAGTAAATTTGAACGGACAGCCTGGTCGGGGAAAGGCTTGCGTGTCATGGATCTACAGCGTAATGCTACTGCTCTGTACTTCGGCCACAACCTCATAACTTCACAGAAGGCCGTAGGTACGTACTTACAAGCTGCGGTAGTTAACATATGCAGGGCTTTCTGTTTGCATAATCGGCCCCTTCAAAAGTCGTTTCATGATAATTGCCTATTGATTAGAGATTATTGAGGTCAGTGCCGTAGATCCATCATCCTGTGGAAAGCGGCAGCTTCCTTGGCATGGTCGCCCTTGGTTCCCCGGGCTTCTCATGGTACAGCGGAACTAACCTGCAGTTTGTCGGCCCCTCACAAGCAGTGGAGAGACTAGAAGCTGCGGCTATCTGTGACCTGGGTAAACTTGAGATGAGCCACCAGCTACGAGCACGCGCTCACTATGGCAGCTTCAGAATTGTTGCTGTTATTCATCAGCGTATCCGGGGTACGACAGACGGGACAGAAAAATACTTTTGTGCAAAACTTTAGAACAGCTTCACTTCTATGTATAGATCCTTAAAGCCCACCTTGAAGCCGCTGTTGCTGGCTCGTGGGCTCATTCATCGGAAGAGTTGCGAGGGTTGAGCTGCGTACGCTCATGGCTAATTATGTAAAGCCGAAATGCAAAATATACATGGTAAAAATATATGGATGTGTTAATCCGTCGGTCCACTGTATCTCTATGTTTCTGGCTGTTCAAGACCAGTTGCTGTGTGCAGACACCGAGCATGCCCTCCGAGTCGGCGCCGCCCGCCACTTCAATGAACGACTCCAACTAATTGCTGTGATGACCGGCTTCACTGACGGCTACCTTCTTTGTACTATTATCAAATAGTTTTCGATGTTGACTTAAGAGATGACAAGGCACGACCCTCATTATTAAGCCTCCCGCGATGAGCTAGTACTGGGAACAGCCATATGAAAACGCCGTCATCCAAGAAGGCACTGACTTGTCCAGCGTATTGTTGCCATCCTAATTTATTGCATCTTCCAGTTTTGTGTATATCTGTATGCTCTACGAAGCAGGCGCCTATCGGCAGGCCCTCAAGCTAGGTTGTTGTCTAGCTTGGGAGGTATGAAGACCTCGTCAAGAAAATGGAACTCCACAAGCTGTAGACGCACAGTCAACTGTCTCCAGATGCATGTTGCATCAATTTAGAGGCAGCTGCTGCTGCTGCCTGCAGCAGCAGCAACGCCTTCCGCGGAAGCAGTATTTGTCTTGTGATGTCGGGCATGCCAATCAACCTTATTGCAAAACGTAGGACACCACTGGGGACGACATAGACATGAGGCCAGGGGCATGGTCTAGTAGATACCAGAAGGATGTCGGAAGAATGCTTCAAGAGGGAAATCGCTATCTCCACGTGCTGTATTCGGGAGAGCGCCAACGCCACCTGCTTGTACACTTATCAGGAAAATATGCAGGCCAATACTCTATTGCTGTTCACAGAGTTTACAGAGACCCAATTATAGTGCATTCGTGCAGCAGGGGCCGATATGAATGCAGCAGCTGCAGCACTGTGGGAGCCAGCCGCAACGAACGACGTTCTTCGGTGCTTGACAAAGTGGTTGGTTGCGGGACGCCCTGCAGACTGAGAGCGTCACCGGTGCGAATGACAAAGGCAGTAGCACAGGAAGAAACAATGAAGACGGCAGAAGGAAGGAGGTCTCCGGGTCCATTTTCACCGTGCGCTAGTTTTCCCGCAAGGATGGCGTCGAAAGCAAATCAAGACCCAGCCTCAGCAGCTGCGAATACTGTAGGGAAGCTGAGGCTGGCCTTTTATCACTTGGCTTCCTTTGGAGGAACGCTACCAACGACGAGCCGTGCAGATGGGACCAGTAAAACCTCACGTTTGGACGGTGACAGTTTTGCCATTGGGGCGTGGACATATGTGCAGCGATCCCAGAAGCAGCTACAACAGCAGCTACTGCACCAGCCGCTACATCGTCAGCATTGGTATATGCCGCTACAGCACGAGCTCCTCATGAAGACTTCTGAGCTTAAGAGTTCGACCCGGACTATTACGGCAAAAAGCACCTGCAGTAGCAACAACGGCAGCACCACAAGCACGTCTAGCAGCGGCAGCAGCTGTAGAGTTCGGCTTGGTGTTTACAGATCATTGAATGGTTTAGAAATTCCAGCAGCGGTGACACTTTCTTCTCCTGAAAAGGCATTGAAGACCCATCGCCTGCATCAAGAGGGGAAGTGCTACGGGACATTTCAGAGAAGTGGCCCGTCTGTTGCTGCCTCTGCTGCACCTTCGCCCGGGCAGTTCTCAAATACAGCGCCTGCTGTTGGAGGATGGGCTGATTTGAAAGGCACAGTGATGCGGTCCAGAAATATCTGCAGGAAGTCAGAAGCAGGGACGTCAGTTAGCCCCGCCAGCGCTGCAGTGCCTTTCCGATCGTTGTCAGTTTCAGCAAGAAGTGGCGCATTGCTCGCTGGGCTAGCTACAACCTCAGCAGCAGCCACTGCCCTGGAAGCCGCTTCAGAAGCCGCTGCACCTGCAGCTGACACTGTAGCACGTACTGCGGAGCACTTCGTCGTATCTGCGTGCAGCACCTGCTCCTTGAGCTCTGCTTCCGCTTGGAAGAAGTGGCTGCGAATACTCTCTGAGACTGATCCACAGCGGCGGAAGGAGCTACTTCTTGAATATCCACCTCTTTGCAGAAAGCACGATAAGAAGATTGATGCTTCAAGTCAGCCCTACATGCCACTGCTTGTGCTATGCAGGATGTGGCGGTCTCGTCTAATGAATTGACACAGCCAAAGTTGGAGCACGTGGCTAGCTCCTTTTGCTCTTTCACAGTAGTTGCAACGGCCCATAAGCAATATGGGTAATTGGATGTGCCTATGTTTCTAATACTGCCACCATCGTCTCTTTCGTTTCTGTGGCTGGTGTTTCTGCTTCTACAGGCAAAAAGGTCTGCGTTGTAAGCTTTCGACAGCTTCTGCGGCTCTTAGAGGCCGCTGCGCTGTACCCGCATGCCACTCAAGATGCCATAACCGTCTTGAGGCAACATGTCCGACTAGGAATGACGAATAATACCGCAGCAGCGGCAGCTCGAGAGCACACAGGAGCAGAAACAGCGGAAGCTTCACCAGTCAGCAAACAAAGTATTTTGCTGCCTTCTCTCGCCTCAGTGGCAAATGCAGAGGCTGTGCGGTGCTTGGCATATGTGGAGAGTGGCTTGACAACGCTTGCACTAGAGAAGGGGGCACAACTACTACAGGTAGGTCTCCTGCTTCCCTTGCTAATGTTTCTACTGCTTCAGCAGCGACTTCGGCGGCTCCCGCAGCGGCTGCCAAATCCATTAGTCACACAGTGTCATTATTGGGATGTGTCAAGGAAGGATACCCGCTTCCTGGGCTACCAGCTAGCAGGTGTCTCGCCGTGCTGGATGAAATTGTCAGTGTTTCTGCTGCTGCAGAGCGTCCGAGATTTTGACTGCACAGAAAGCTTTCTCGTGGAAGCAGTGGCTGCTGGCGCAGCCCCACGTGTTGGGTCTGCAGCACCACGGTGGTGCTTCAGGGTACTTGACGGGCCCTTGCATCCGCCTCCTAACCGGCAAAAGAACACTTGGCAGCAGCTAGAGAGCGGATCGCTACTAATATTAAAACCTGTCGACTCGGTGAGTGTGGGTCCTGTGGCTGTTGTGGTTGCAGTCGTTGGCATTAGCGTTGTTGCTGGTAACTGTGCTGTTTTTATCGTTTGTTGCGTCCGTCGGTTGTTAGGCCTGCTGTGTGTTGTGTCGTGAGTTCAGGCAGCAACATTCGTGGCAAAAGAGCTGCGGCTCCTTCACGGTCGCTCGTTTGACTTCGCTTCTGTAACGGTTCATGCTGCAGCGGCAGCATCTGAAGTATTACAGTCAACCTTTCATCCGGGCTCCGGGCTTCCCGTGCACAAAGGGCATGAAGGAGATCTTAGGAGCACGGAGGAGCGGCAGCAGCTGCTGCAGGCTTTGCTTGAATCCACAGGAGAAAAGCACAACGTTCGGTGCGTAGTCTGTGGTCTCACGTTCCTTGTTTCTGTCGAAAAGCTTCTTCAGCGCTCACTGGACTGTCCAAACTGCTCAGCAGGAGCAACATCAACGCTAGCGGCACCAAGCCGGAAAACCGAAACTCGCAGTGGAATGGAGATAACAGCAAGAGCAGCCGACTGTCTCTCTTCCTTAACCCAAGGTCACAGGCAGAGCGAGAGATTCAAGTACAGGGATTTGCGTGATGTGCTGCAGCAGCTAGATATGGTGGGATGATCCGCCGGCGGCTGCCGCTGCGGCTGTTGGCATTGCCCCTGGTGCTGCTTTTCTTTTCAGAGCTGTCTGTGCGTGCTTTCCAGAAGATTTAATTTCCCCGGCAGCTGAATCGGTTTCGGATTCAGTTGTGTTTTCTGCGATTCAGGCCACATGCTGGGCATCAGACAGATATGCACTGGAGGCACCGGCCTTTATCGCATCCGTATGCAGCAACAGCAGACGCCAGGCCCTTAAGGTTAAGGTGCACCCTTGCCTAGCGGGGGACATGTTTCAGAAAA